TTAATATTACAATGAGGAAAGATATGGCTGGGAATTGTGTTCTTCACAGAGAATCATAATGTTAGACACTTTCTTGAGGAATCCAGAGTACCTTGGAACTGGAATGTTTTATAGTTCATGGAGTTGGAGGTGGAAAATTCAAATCTTTTCTTGACCTGAGAGATCAGGGACTTTACTTCAATCATGGCCCACAAATGGGGTAAATAGAGACACAGACACTGTCTTCTTGTTAGGGAGTGGTGCGGAATTTGAGTGAAAAGGTTTACAAATGGGACATGTCATTAATTCTCCCTTTTCTTTCCCAACCATTATAAAACTGGGGAAAATACTGTTTTCCTCAAAGTACCAAACACTCAAAAAAATAAGAGCTTGTAGGAAACTCCTTGGAATTGTAGTTGGGGAAGATTTTATAAGGTGTGGGTAAGAGAGGGAGAGGATGAGTGTTCATTCATTCATTCAGCAAATATTAGTTGAGTGTCAGTGTTATGCAAGGTCTGAGGAGAAAGGTCTGAGAATAAAAATAAGATATATTCTTGGGCGCCTGGGTGGCTCAGTTGGTTAAGCGACTGCCTTCGGCTCAGGTCATGATCCCGGAGTCTTGGGATCGAGTCCCACATCGGGCTTCCGGCTCAGCAGGGAGCCTGCTTCTCCCTCTGACCCTATCCCCTCTCATGCTGTTTCTCTCTCTCTCAAATAAATAAATAAATAAAATCTTAAAAAAAAAAACAAAAAAACCCTGTTATTTCTACTAGAGAGGCCTTGTGAGATACCAGGACCACAGTGATTAGAGCCACGGCGCAGGTGAAAGTAACCTGTTAACCTCTCACCTTAATTCTGATTGGTTATATACCTAATAATGCATGGTCTTGATGCTAATATTTAAAGTGACAATTCCATTTTCTGAAAGGTGATGGAGGCATTAATTTAACCTACAATGTATATGGTGGAAGTAAATAATGACGGTATCTCTATCACCTCCTCTACACATGTAATGCTTACCCTTCCCTTGAGTCGTTTGATGTTCTATTAAACAAAACCTGATTTATGAATGACTCTGTATACTACTGTAAGTTCACCCATTAAATATTAAATAAAAAAAGCTTAATTCCTTTTTCACAGATGAAATTTTATAGAATTTCTAGTATTTTTTCCCCATAATGCATTGGATCATCTTGCCTGCTTGTACAACCTACTTTATGACTACCGGCGTCTGAAACAAAACGTGCCACTGGGTATGTAGTTGGCCCTGGTTCCTCTACTACCCCTGTGAAACAACTGAAAAAAAGAAATGGAGAAATGGATATTCCCTTAAGCCATGTCACCATGGCAACATATTTTGAAAACTTTTACTTCAACAACTTAAACTAGGAAGGGAATTTAAAATCAGATCCTAGGGTAGCTGATATTTTATTTTCATTTTTTTATAAAAAGATTTTATTTATTTGACAGAGAGAGAGACAGCGAGAGCAGGAACACAAGTAGGGGGAGCAGCAGAGGCAGAAGCACACAGACTCCACCCGAGCAGGGAGCCTGATGCGGGGCTCGATCCCAGGACCCTGGGATCATGACCTGAGCTGAAGGCAGACGCTTAACGACTAAGCCACCTAGGCGCCCCTTTATTTTCATTCGAAACTGTGATTTCATGTCCTATTTATTCAAAATTTAAGTCTTGATTTTCATTTTCCTGTTTAACTTAAGCCCTTTTATGTTAGATCTTTGGTGCTACTAGGTCAACAATTTGGCCTGATTGTGTACTAGGAAGTTTAAGAATTGTCAGAAATCAGGTCAGGCCTTTGTAGATCAGACTGAGCGAGAAGTATTGTTCACCAGGGGCTGTACACAGAGCTTACTATTCAGGTAACTGAGGTAATTTGTTGCCTTTTGTTGCCAAAGTTCCTTTCAGCAAGGACTTAAGGATATAAACTAAGCTGGGCAGAGGCCCCATCTAGTGGTGACTTGAAGAAAGGCAGGTAAAGCTAAAAAAAGGTAAGTCGTGTCCCAATCTTCCGGTAAAGATGAGCTACTAGTTATTTTCCTGAAACCCTAATCAGGAGGGTTAGAATGTGTGAAATTGTTAGAAATGAAGTTCCTAAGTTAGCGATTCTCACTGGAAGAATATATTTAAAATAAAGAGGATCACTCAGGAAGCATATTTAAAATCCAGGATATACTCTGCCCTAACGGATCTGATCAGGTAGCTCTGGGACAGCACCCACCTTAACAGACTTCTCCAAGTGCATTAGGCGTATTACAGCTGAGCCCTTTCCCCTCCCTATTAGGAACTCGGCTACGTCTACAGAAGAGAGGCAGCCTGCCCAGCAGAGGCGGCAGCACACAATTCAGAGCTCAAAGGAGATTTCACAGACCACTGGTAAGGGACCCAAGATTTAGAAGGAAGATGGAGAGAGCTGGCCCAGCCCTTCCTTCTAAGAAGTTCAAGCTGTTAGCCAAACAGAAAGCTGACTTACTTTTTTTAACTTTTTATTTTGAAATAATTACAACTTCTGTTTTTAAGAATCTTCTGCAGTAAACTATCCAATACAGTTTTTTAGATTTTTCTCTCCCCCCTTCCCCTTTTTAAGAGAAGAATTTGACCTAAATATTCTAAAAGTATCTGCTGGCACTAACCTTTCACAATTCTCACTCCCTCCCTTCTTATACCTATAAATCTAAATGTGGGTAATTCTGTTTGTCTTAATTCATTGATATAAGAAGTATGATTTTATAATTTATTAAAGAAATAAATTTTTTTTTCTGTTTAGAGAGAGCGTGCAAGACGGGAGGAGAGAGGGAGAGAATCTTTTGTTTTTAAAGATTTATTTATTAGAGAGAGAGAGAGTACACGAGAAGGGGCGGGGGGGGCTCAATCCCATAACCCTGAGATCAAAATGTGAGCTGAAATTAAGAATTGGACGCTTAACTGACTGAGCCACCCAGGCGCCCCTAAAGAAATAAATTTTAATGGCTTTGGTCTCTGATCTTATTATATTAATAGGAGACAAGGGCAATATTAGGAAATAAACTAACTCTTACTGGGAACCTGGTACCCAGTATTGGGCCTAGGCTTTTTACTTACAGTGAAATTAATGCACTGCTACAACTACCTTCTAAAGTAAGTAGTCTCTCTACCAGAGGAGGTGAGGCTGAAAATGGTTAAATGATCTATGCAGGATCACACAGCTAGTAAGTTAAAGAGAGTATCTGGACTTTGGTGTGAATGCAATGTCTGTGCTCTTTATATAATGCACTGCTTTGTACTAAAATCTACAAACAGCCCTGCAATAATCAATTGCATTAACCATTTCTCAAACTAAAATATCTTTGGCCAGAACTACTGAAAAGGAGGAAAAGTCAAGTATTTTATAGCCACTTTTCTGTCCTTGTTTAGATACGCACATCCAAAATACAACAGGATAATGTTCTGTGCAACACGGTAATGGAGAAAATAAAGGAAATGAATAATCTACCATTGAGTACATGACAACACTGCTTGTGAACATTTTATTCACTTTAAAATAAATACTGTGCTGTAAAACTGCCCAGAACTAAAATCTGTAGTATACAGTAGGGAGGTACAAAGAATGGCTGCAGCACAGTGTTTTGTTGGAGTAAACCATTCTAAGTCAAGAGAGAGGAATCTCTGTCTACAGCAGGTACACACCTTGGGGGAAAACACATTCACATCAAGGAGAAAGAAATAGATAAAAGTTCCAAGAGAGAAACTACCTATTACAAGTAAGAGTTTCTTGAGATTAACAGAAGTGAAGAAAACTTAAATGTTGTGAGGCTCTACCATGTGCCCAGTTTCTAGCTTAACACCTGGTAGAGAGCAGTTGCTAAATAAAAATTTGTTGAAAGGATTTCAGGCACTAGAATTTACATATTTTACATGGTCTCCCATTTAAACAACCTCCTATCAGTTTCCTTCTTCATTATCTTTACTTCATTAACTAGTTATATATACTATAATTTACATAATAAATCTATTAAAAACTTCCAATAGGTACAATTATGACATTTCATTAGGCTGGACTCTAAATTGCTTGGATTAGATTTATTTTGGAATCACATTATCCAAGCAAAAAACACAATCAGTTCATGGGACACAAGAGAAATGAAAGAAGTGAGACAATTATCTGCCTTAGAAGTTTATCAATAACCTCTTATATACACATACATATTCACAAAGTGGTTGAGAGTCCTTTTATACGATCCTTCAGATGAGGTTCAACGGCTGGGAACTCTACAGTGAGACACATGGTCAGACAGAAATCATGACTGTCAATGATTTTTTCTTTCCCCAAACTTTATTATCCATTAGTTGGGGAGAGAAAGAAGTCCATTTTCATCTGCTGTATCTAAGATTTTACAGATCACTGGAGATTCAACCTAAAGAACAAAAACAATAAAGCCATTAAAAAGTTGCTAAACTGAATACTTTCTTTATTTAGTGTTCTTCTGTATGAATACATGTGTATAAATTTGTTAAATGTATATTCACAAAAATGTAAAATTTTTCAAAAGTTGATAAATAATATCAACCCATAAATGCAAAAAGCTCTGTGAACTCTGATCAGGAAACATACAGAGAAAGCCACTGCTAGGCATCATATAACCAAAGGCAGGACCATGAAGTTCCTAGATAGAAATACAGGATAATATTTTCATGACTTTGGGTGGCAGCATTTCTTAGAACAAAATAAAGCATTAGCCATAAAAGGGAAAAACTGATTAAAATAAACTTTATCAAATAAACTTTTGCTTATCAAAAGACATTAGGAAAATAAATAGGTAAGCCACAGATTGAGGAAAAAAAGTATGCACTATAAATTAAGAACTCATATCCAGATATGATAAATATAAAAATATAAAAAATAAAATAACTCATATCCAGAATATATTTGAACTCCTAGAAATAAGAAGACAAACAAAACAATAAAAATGGGTAAAAGACTAACAGATGACAGAGTCTCCTCGACCAAACTGAAGTCAGGTTCCGTAATTCCTCTTTTCAACTAGGCCTCTTCTTGTATTTGTGCCCTGTCTTGGGCCTGCTGAGTCCAGCTGTCTCAAGAATCCTGATAAGTCAGTGTAGAGAGAACCCCTTAGCCTCAACAACTAATCATCCATCCCATATCGGATCAAATTCCTCATCTCTCACCTTTGATAGCTGATCATCCTGGCCTGCCTTCAGCAATAATCCTGTCAAGTCAGTTAAGTTGATGTCTCCTCTTAGTAATTTTCCATCCATTGTGCCACCCCCAACCCTGCCACCTTCTGCTCATTGGCTGTACGTCCCCAGCTGTCTTTGCCACATGTAGAGTTAAGCTGGATCTCTCTCTCCTATTGTGAAAGTCTTGACACACTTATTGCCAACAGTCCTGAATAAACACTGTTTCAGTAAGTGTCAGAATAATTTTTCATTAAAAAAAACTTGGCTAGATACTTCACAAAGATCTATGAATGAATCATCACATGAAAAGGTGCTCATCACCATTTTCCATATGGGAAACACACACTAAAATGACTAAAGTGGCTAAAAGAGGGGCGCCTGGGTGGCTCAGTCGTTAAGCGTCTGCCTTTGGCTCAGGTCATGATCCCAGGGTCCTGGGATCGAGCCCCGCATCAGGCTCTCTGCTCAGCGGAAGCCTGCTTCTCCCTCTCCCACTCCCCCTGCTTGTGTTCCCTCTCTCTCTGTCAAACAAACAAACAAATAAACAAATAAATAAAATCTTAAAAAAAAATAAAGTGGTTAAAAGAAAAAAGACTTACAATACCAAACGTTGGGGAGGATGTAGAGCAACTGGACTCTCATATATTACTGGTAGGAATGTAAAATGGTACAACCATTTGGATAACTATTTGATAAAAGCTAAACATATATCTAATCTATGATTCAGCAATTCCACACCTAGGTACTTACCCAAAGGAAAGAAAATACATGATCACAAAACGACGTATAAAAAAAAATGTTCATAGCAGCCTTATTCACATAATAAAAAATGAGAAACAACCTAAATGTCTATATAGAAGAATGGATAAGCAAGTGTGGTATACTTATACAAATGAATACTATTCAGTAATAAAAAGAGAATGAAATACTGGAGTGACATGGGTGAGTCTGAAAAACATGCCAAGTCAAAGAGGGCAGGCATAAAAAACTATATACTATATGATCCCATTCATGTGGAATCAAAAAACAGGCAAAACTACTCTATGATGTCAGAAAGCAGAAAGGGGTATCTGTGGGGGTTGGGGTATTGACATAAAAGGGGTATAAAAAATTTTTCTGCAGTGATAGATACCTTGTTTTGGGTGATAGTTCCATGGGTATATAAAATTATCAAAATATATCAAACTCAACACTTAAGATCTCTGCATTTTATTTTTTGTAAATTGTACCTCAATAAAAAAGATTATAGCTTTTACAGAGATAGTATGAGGGCTATATTAAATTTTGGAGATTACTGAAGCTCTTTTCAAGACTCAATGCTAAAAATTGAAACATGTTTTCAAACTGAATTCCTGAGTATTATTTTTTTTTTAAAGATTATTTATTTATTTATTTGAGAGAGAGAGACACAGCGAGAAAGGGAACACAAGCAGGGGGAGAGGTAGAGGGAGAAGCAGGCTTCCCGCTGAGCAGGACCCTGGGATCATGACCTGAGCCGAAGGCAGTCGCTTAACCGACTGAGACACCCAGGCGCCCCCTAAGTATTATTTTTTTACTTACCCCAAGGATATACTGACAGGAGTGAGGCTCTAGCATATATACAGTAACAGCATGAGGAGAATCTGATTCTTTACACCTGAAACAGAGAGCACTTTAAAGTACTGCCCAAACCACACAAAAGTATTTTTATTTTTAGAAAGGCTTAATTAATTAATTAACTGAGAGAGAGGGAGAGCGTGTGCACGTGCGCACATGTATAAGTTGGGACGGGGTGGGGGGGGTGAGAAGGAGCAGAGGGAGAGGGAGGGAGAATCCCAAGCAGACTCCGAGCTAAGCCTGGAGCCTGACGTGGGCCTTGATCTCACGACGCTGTGACCAGGGCCTGAGCTGAAATCAAGAGTCAGACGCTTGACCAAATGAGCCACCCAGGTGCCCTGTACAAAAGTATTTTTAATTGTTTTCCTTTTAAGCTATACAAATCTTATGTAAGTGGCCCTGTATAATTTAATATAATAACTGAAATAATATAATTTAAAAATCATTATAACTTACAAATAATATAATTATATTAAAATAATTTTAATATTTTATTTATTTATTTTTAAAGATTTTAATTTATTTATATTATAGAGAGAGAGAGCATGTGAGTGAATGGGGGAAGGGGTAGAGGGAGAGAACCTCAAGTAGACTCCACCCTAAGGATGGAGCCAGATGTGGGGCTCAGTCTCATGATCCTGAGATCACGACCTGAGCTGAAACCAAGAGCTGGCCACCGAGGCGCCCCAATGTTTTATTTTTAAAAACGATTTTCTTTCTGTATCTTTTAAAGTTTCTTTCTCTCTTTCTCTCTCTTTCTTTAATCTCTACAACCAATGTGGGGCTTGAACTCACAACCTTGAGATCAAGAGTCGCATGCTCCACTGACTGAGCCAGCCAGATGCCCCAATTTTACTATTTTAGAATAAAGTAATAATTTTATATAAAATTAATCCACACATTATTATGCATAAATATAATGACTCACAATTATATTTTATATTTATATAAACTTTTGCCCATTGGAAGCAGATAAAAGAGAAGCACAAAGCACGAGTTGATGGTCCAACTTACTTTAGTTTTACAGTGACCTGTCTTGGTTTGTCAGTTATATCACAAATATCTCCATTCCCATAAAAATGTGACACCATCCTAAACCAGAGAAACACACGTTTTATTAACCTAAACTTCGTTAATTCAGGGTAACTGTAATGGGGAGGGTGAGAACATGGTTAGAGGCATCAGTTTTGCATTAGTTATAAAATATTTTTAGGGTCATGTCACAGAGAAAGGTTTTCAGATTCTATAAGGAGAATACAAAATTGAGATACTTTGGAATGACTTAATTAATAAGAATAATCTTCAATTTGCATATTATTTATTTGGATACAAATAGTTAAGGTTAAAGTGTTTTTTAAAAGTCCTTCTGAAGTGAACCATTTCCTCAGCCCTGTATATTGTTTACTTTGTGGCAGTTTTCCCTCCTTGCCATCCTCCAGCCAGCTCCACTCATGAAAATACTGTCATGCAGGTATACAAAAGTATACCTGCCTAGGTTAACCTACAAATTCCAAATGAGCAGGATATTTTTAATTTAGCTAGCCTTATGCTCCTGTGATTCAGTATTTATTGCTCATGATACCATGAACTACTTTCACATGAAACATACATGAACATAAGAAAAGTCCATCTGTTTAGTACATTCTAATACTTAAATGCCCATCTCTTAATTTTGCTAACTTTGATTTTGGTCAGCCCAAGAAGTCAACACATTCTATTTTTTTAAGATTTTATTTTTAACCAAACGTGGGGCTCGAACTCACAACCCTGAGATCGAGAGTCCCACGCTCTATGGATTGAGCCAACCAGGCGCCCTGAAGTCAGCACGTTCTAAAAACAGAGTCTCTCCATGAACAGACATTTTTCCAAAGAAGACATCCAAATGGCCAACAGACACATGAAAAAGTGCTCAATATCGCTCAGCATCAGGGAAATCCAAATCAAAAC